TGCTATTTTAATTCCAGTTAGCTATTTTAACTTCTGCATTGAAGTTGCAAATAGACTTGAGCTTATTTGGTCATGAGGAATTTGGGGGCATCGACTGAACAACGTAGCTTCTGTTCCATGAAGTCCGTTTCGGGAGACTAACGAGGAAAGATCATGGGACATCGCATTCCGTGGTGAGTGTTTGCTCTGCACAAGATGCTGTGACTATCGTATTACGATTTTCAGCATTACATTGTTGCTTCAGGTGTATCCTAAACGTGCCATGTATGTTCTTGTAGCAATGTCTCTGTCAAGCAGGATCTCATAACCTGTAACCCTAAATTGCTGTTTAGTTGTAGATTGAGCGGTAAACGCCTTGTCACTGTTAGTGCTTTTAATGGCTTAAATGATGCCTAATGGATGATGACTGTGCGGTCTCATGAGCAGAATTTTTCACCAATTAATACATTTATTAATGAGATGAACTTAGGCAGGCTGTTCCATTGTAATTGGTGTAAGAACTTGTGAATAATGATACCAACCTGCAAATGGCACCGTGATTTTATCCTGTGCATGTACAATCAGAAAGGCAGAAGATATTTTGCCTTTTACGCCTCGTAGTATAGTTTCGCTCCTTTTAGGTATTATGTTTCATTGTCCGGTAATTTGTTTGAATTTGGACTATAAACACGGAAATAAGTAAAAGTTGGCAGAAAATTATCGGCTGATTTGGATTAGAGTTTTCGAAATTTATACCCCTTCCACATGAAGACGCAGTATTTACAATTTGTTCTTTCTTGTTATTTTGAAAACCTCTTTCCTGTCTACGATGATTCTGCATGCCAACATTAGAGGGGTGCTATATAGTCCCTAGCATGAATGTATTGGCGAGAGTAGAAATGGGTCAGCTGTACTTCGTTTATAGAACTAAAGTACGCTTGGAGAGATGACGTGGTGGAATGGTGATGCAAGTGTTGGGCTATTTTCAAGGATGCATAACTAGGTGCAAATGATGCTTTCAAAGAGTCAAAAGAAATATATTGGAAGATTAAAATATAATTAAAAGTTATGAGTTTTGAGCAATTACTAGCGAAGTCTAGGGGATCAAAGACATTATATTTAGTTATAGAAGTTGAATTGACTCAAAGAAAGGAGAACAGTGACTTAATGCTTTATCCTTAAATCGTTCCTTTTATTGAAGTACTGGCTGAGCTACGATTCTTCATCTTTGACAAAATAATAGGGAGATTGCACAAGTTCTGTGAATGCGATGGGATCTGACTCTTTTTACAAAATGATAGAAAAGCATATAGGATTTCCTAGGAATTGATTCTTATGTTTTGCCAGGTCTGGTTTTATTTTTCACTCCGCGCGTTGCTTTACCTGGCTGATAAACGATTGTTTTCAAAGTGGTCGACTAGTTTTTTATGGCAGACAACACAGACCCAACCTGTGTGAATGTAAATGGTTTAAGTCTTGAATTATGGACCTTCCTACATCTCAACAGGATGTTCCCGACGTCAACGACTGTTCGCTTATTCTAATGCTTCATGGTGTGCAATGTGTCTTAAAAATCTTACCAATAAATTTTGATTAAATACTTACTCCCTCTTCTACACAGAAACGAATCTGTCCCCCTGTGGTCTGGATGAGAATCACTGACAACTTTTAATTTGGCACAAATCATTTGGCCAAAATGTGCGCAATGGGTAAGGAGAAGGGAGGCTGGAAGTAACATTTGACGCATGCGCTAATCACACGATATTCGGTAGGTGGTATGCAAAGACAATGAGAGCATAGGCCCAGGTGGCAGGGGAAGAAGAGCAAGCGGCATCGAGTGCTAAGTAGAGGAGTGGCATGCGGGTGCGTGGAGGTGTGAGAAGTCATCTTTTAGAGGTAGTTCAAAGGCTTCTCACCGCTGCACATTTAATGCTATGCATCCTTCTGCAGATGGTGCATGTGGTGCTTTTCGGAATGATCTCACCTGTAAGGTGCATGCCGATTTGGATGATGGAGATAGTGTGGCCCCTATCACTAATGTGGCAGCCAGTGTAACAAGGACACAACTGCTATTAGCTCACAATGATGACTACAATGACCCTGTGTTAGGTACTGTGTCCCACACTGTCGATATCTGGATGTCGATGAACGACAGGGCAGCAGAGTGTAGAAATGGGTCCAACCAGTGAGCATGCGTTGTCGCATAGATTCAAGTGGATATTTTTAATAATACCTCTCCGCTCTGAGAGTGGTGGATACGACAACGCCGGTGCCACAGACGGCACCAACAGTCTTGGTGGTGGTTAGGTTATAGAATGGGATGCATGCATGCCGTAGTTGCCTTAAGTAGACGTATAACCTTCTGCAGCATTAGACGTAACTTGAGTGTTGAATAAATGAAAATGGGCAAGACTGCTACATAGTTTCTTCAATCCTTACTCTAAGCAGGATTCGGAGATGCCGTAATGACAAGTCCTCCTATGCTGAGTGTCAGACGCTGGGACAGACATGCGAATGAACCCAAAGTCGGTATCGGGAAATAGTTGCCCTTATAGGCCTCTCACTAAACTAGGTACAGCTCATTAACTATATGATTAATATTCCAAGTGCGTACTCAAACAAACGGCTTCGGACACCACGAATGACGTTCTATTTTCCGTCAGATTCGACATACTTATCCATTTTGATAATAAGGTCAAATGGCTCCACAAAGCCATCAGAAATTCATCGCATTAAATTCAATCTGAATAATCATGGGCATTTATGCCTCACCACTGAAGAGCAAATTGCAGCTCTGCCAAGTGTGTTCAAACAGTTCTACTGACCCACATCTGGATGTGAGTTTTCCTTGCCGTAATAGCTTAAACTAGTGCCGTATCTTATGCATCTCTCTGGAGTTGTGCTGGAAGGGCTTGTCAATTTTAAGAGATAATTAAAGAATATCTGCTACAGAAAATGACATTTATGTGCCAATGTACCACAAAAAGCCTGGTTCAACCCTCATTCACTAGATGATAGCAAAATAGGCAGGCTAAAAATTTGAGCGTTTATATGCTTAGGGTGAAGTTGAGCAAAATGAATTTGATTGAACTTCCAAAACAGAGAACCACTTCAAAGGGGGCTGACCTATTTGCCTATGTCGCAATCTCAAATGTTGTGTGAACAAATCGGTTCGTTCCATCAGATCCACTATTCTTCCATTGACCACTTTCGGTCAGTTATCTGATCTTGAGTGTGTTGACTTAGTCACAGCCAGTAAGCAGTCTGAGTAGGAGTCTTGGGCACTCTAAAGAAGGTATAAAGACCGAAACCGTCTAAGACATTACATGGGTTTACCAGTTTGGGTTTTTGAATGTGGAGAGCATGGCAGCATTCAGGTGGTTTTATTACCGGCACCTCAACAACTAAATTCTACAGCAGGACTAGTTAGTTCAGACTATGCAATTGTTCGTCGGAGAGCTGTCGATTCTGCAGCATGGATTACCATGTGCCTTAATGAGCCATGTTATTTGTTATGTTCCATGCAGCGGGAATGAATCAGAATGTTCTTAAAGGCAATAACGACTGTGAGAAGATCTTGAGCTGCATTTTCATGGTGTGAATTTCCACGACCTTGCAAAAGGCACTTATGACCGCGGCTGCGTTGCTACCATATGGTCTAGCATCAGCATTTACATTAACATGGCATTCTGGGACGTCAAATTATGGACCCTGTGGTGCTGGCAAATGCCATGATGATTTTCATTATCACCGACACCGATCTTACTAATGGTGCCCAAAGCCCCCCTTTACCTACGATATACTCCGCAAACACAGCTGACGTCATATACTTATTAAATTGGGCAGTAAATACCGAGAACGTCCTGTCACTGCTGGCTCAAATGCTGTTGCAGATGATATAAATGGATGGGAGTCGAGACGGATATTTGTCTGTTCTATTATTTTAGAGTCAACCAATGGTTACACGAATGCGGTTTATGTAACAACAAATCCTAAATATTTGTATACCAATTGTGACTGCTCTATCCGAGAATTCTTCAATTAACACTCCGTTATCTTTACTCAATTTAATTAGCCATCTTATATAAGATGATTTATTTCTCTTGCAAATGACTGCTTTTAAATGTATTTAATTATTTGCATATTTGATAAAACACGCCACACACACTTGTTTAAGACAACCAGCGTAAACGCCAAATCCACGTCTAGCGGTATTTAAGAGAATTTTTCCATCCAACTTATTACCATCGGAACCGCTCCGAATGGGGACACCCTAACCCGAACAAAAGCTGAGAAATTTATCCCCATAACTGTCGTGAGTGGGTCACACAGGTCACATCACGAGCCAAATCACTTTTTTGGTATAAGTAGCCGTGATGCTGCACAATGCTCATCTGGAAAGGCATTAGTAAACACCTTTTTATATATAATTCAAATTATATGACTGCTTAAACACAACAACTCGTTCAAGCTGGCATCAAGACTAACATTTTTATCCTACTCAAATGCAGCTCTTGATATCACCATGTGTGATGAAAACATTTTTTTAACACTTCCTTGACTTACTTGACTGATGATTCCGTGTGAGGTTACACCATTAAATGCGTTTCATCATGGATGTCGAGGCGTTACTATTTCGGAGTTGGTTGTAACTGTGGTATCTCCTGGTGAAACATGATTTGCAGCCCAATTGGCGAGGAATGCAAAATAATTAGGATAATTTACAACAAGCCATTTAATGCAGATTGCATATCACTGCGTAAAGGCATGACATAAGGCGTAGAATTTACTTTTACCCAATTGGGAATCACTACGTTTACGCATGACAGCTTTGCATTGCACCACATGATAGGGTTTTGGTATAAGAAATTCCACAAGGGATTAAAAACAGGTAGAAAAGAGTTAGTCCAACAGCTACGTGTCATATGCAGTGCTGAAATTTGGGTCTTAGTTACTCACCAGTCCATGTAACATAAGTGGTTTGAGGCAAGTCTGCGTCCTCCCTCAATTTGTGTATCATTCTTTTTTTGGTAAAAATAGTTGCATCTTTCTTTTCAAACTGACTTGCTAGTGTGACAATCTTATGTTAATTACAAGGCCTCATCTTTCCTTAATATCACGGCCTGGGGGTGATTTGTTTCGGGGAAAACAAAGTTAGAGGAGATTTTAAGGCAATACAAGAGTCAGAACTATGTCAGACGGAGAGACAGACAAAGTGATAGATGGAAATATAGACAAGAAGAAAGCCCAAATTTGTAGCAATGGTGAAATAACGTGAAACCAAAAACAATGTAGAGTGTGGTCATGGGTTCATTTACTTCTAAGTGGCTTATTTCCCACTGCTCTTAATGCTCAATATGAACTAAATGTTGTTGGAACGTTAAGGTGGGTCAAAATAGCATCTTCCAAAACCGAGCAAGCTGATCTTTTGTTCTGTTGTAACTTAGCCCGAACTGAAACAGGAGTCTGCGTACTGATGGAGTTGTTTACCGCAATCTCAAACTTTAAAACGTGAAAAGGTAAAATCGGACACTCGTTTGCAATTATACTTTATTCTATCAAGCTCAGATGCAACTTGTCCAATATTTTGTTATCACATCTTCAACCCGCCACAATAGGAACCAAAAAAAATATTTCACTTTAAAATTACCTAGTTAATAGATGATACTAGTACATACAATCGCTTTTATGAATCTCGAAGATTGGCTCTTAACCGCCAAATTCAACCTCCCTCTCTATCTCCATTGTCAAAGAAAACCGCTTATTCTCCGAGCCCTCCCACATGATTTATTTGTGACTGCAGTCGGAGCCGGCATCACCAATGCTGTGACACATAGGCTCAACTTGTCATCAATCGTGAAGGGCAAACTCTGGCCGGGGACTTCTTTCAGCGTTTCCAAAAAGCTGATGAGGCCAACGAATGGTATGCCAGGGACCTCCAACTTCTGGCCGAACGCGCTTTTCGTGGCTGTCCCCCAAACAAAATCGCCAATTGGGTAGCAGTTCAATTCAGACCGGTGTCTCGCCATACAGTATTTCTAGATTTATGCGCGTAGAAGAGAATAGTGACCGCATCCTTCTATGCCCTGTGCCTCCTTGAGGTGTCCACTGGAAATTTTATCTCCACAAATACATTCACTAGGCCTCGATTGCCTTTCCATTGACAAAATTTGACTTTCAGCCAAATCTGGCTTCCATTTGCGCTTGGGTTATTTTAAATATTTGTGAAATCTTTGCTTCGACTTTGGTTAACAGTTTCACAATCTGTCATAGATGTCTTCGCATTATTGGGTATCCAAATGAAGCTCATAAATTCGGTTCACTGGACAAAGTTAAATAAGTTATTTCGTGTTCAATGGTTGCAATGAAGCTGCCATAATTCCTTCCTTTCACTGCTTTAGCATGTAAAGTGACATAAAGAAGTATGGTTTTGTTGTTAGCCACAGCATATCCTGTTGTACGGATTGGCTTTTAGCCTCAAAACACTAACTTTAGGTATCATCCGCAGTAATGGTACATAAGTGCATAAATAAATAAATAACAAAGAATTTAGCCAGCAAAGAAAAGCAGATAATGAGACCCTATTAATAAACACTTGGGAAGAGAAAAGGAAATCTGGTTAAAGGAATGCGAATGAAGTTAATGGAATCCCATATTCCTGTAAAGCATTGTTAGTGAGCATTAACTAGGTTGTGTGAGGCCGTTATCTTCGCTGCAATCAGAGCATTCGAGGCTGCATCGAAGCAATGCATTTGCGCTCTCATCAAATGGGAACACAACCTCCTGTGCCGTTGCATGCAAGATCTAACGCCATATCAGGACCGGGTCTTTCCAGCCTCAGGAGGAGATGAGATCTGAAAAGCAAATGGGTCAGAGAACCAGTACAATTACGAACTCGCAATTGTTCCTACCTTTTGTGATCCTACCTGTAAATTACCAATGACAGAAGAAGCGATTGGTCGTAAGTCATAATTGATGATTTATTTACCACATCTGTCAACCATCACTCCTCCATGGTGTCGTTCATTACGCACCATCAAGTCATCATCGCCTACATCATTTAGAAGGAGATAAATTGAGTTAATATACAGAATAGCCTGTGCAGAATTACTTCTGTTCCACATGGGGATGCTGTGGGAAGGAGGCAGGTGAAGTGCATGGGGCACTTTTGACAAGGAATGTTGACTGTTTGCATGATTATTTGGAGATATCTTTAGGGTCACGAATGTCATTAGGATGAGTTGCTCTCTTCCACCAGTCAAAATTGTCATTTTCAAGCCGACGTTGTAATTGTCCAGCCACACGTGTATGTGAATGCTTAACTGTGTGTTTTCGCGTTTGCATGGACAACGAGCGATTTAATTCTACTGTCCTTAAAAAGGGAATGCTTCAGCTGGTACCAAAAGAATTCAATCTTGTTTTCGCAGGATTTACCCAGCCATGACAACTTGGTTCAGCCCCACATTGCGTGCCATGGTTTTACTCCCTGAACACCCAGTCACTATGTGGCACACTTTCGCTTCTGCCTTGCAGCCTCATTTTGAGCAGATGTAGGTGTATACGAAAAGGCAGTCTCTGACTTACTCAAAAGTCTCATTTTGGTCTAATAAGGAATTTGACAGTTTTAACATGCAAAACCAAAATTTAGGGGGAAGTCGATCACGTTGATACCTATCTTTTGCATTAAGCAAATGATGAATTAATGGCTCTCAGAATCTTTGCTATAGTCGTAACAGACAAAAGGAGAGTGAATGTACTACGTGCTAAAGTACAGAAGGGCTAGGAGATTACAATCCACTCCTGGAGGCCATATTGCAATGTAGAAATACAAGCTGCTGATGCTGAATTAACCACGTCAATGAGTGTGTAGTTGAACAAAATGTAAAGATGCCACACATTTAGCATAGCCAAATGCGCATTTTCCTCCATTCTCGCTAAGTGGGATAGACAAAACTACTGGACCCATAATGCAGAATAACAAATAGCATTTGCATAATTATGTAAAGAAACGAATCATTTGTACCATTTGTATATCTGTTTTAAAAGCTTGCCCAACTGCATGAGCTCCTCTGCTTAACAATATATTCTTAACACTATTTTTACGAATTCTTTGGATTTTCCACTCCTAATGCATGCTATTTTAATTCCAGTTAGCTATTTTAACTTCTGCATTGAAGTTGCAAATAGACTTGAGCTTATTTGGTCATGAGGAATTTGGGGGCATCGACTGAACAACGTAGCTTCTGTTCCATGAAGTCCGTTTCGGGAGACTAACGAGGAAAGATCATGGGACATCGCATTCCGTGGTGAGTGTTTGCTCTGCACAAGATGCTGTGACTATCGTATTACGATTTTCAGCATTACATTGTTGCTTCAGGTGTATCCTAAACGTGCCATGTATGTTCTTGTAGCAATGTCTCTGTCAAGCAGGATCTCATAACCTGTAACCCTAAATTGCTGTTTAGTTGTAGATTGAGCGGTAAACGCCTTGTCACTGTTAGTGCTTTTAATGGCTTAAATGATGCCTAATGGATGATGACTGTGCGGTCTCATGAGCAGAATTTTTCACCAATTAATACATTTATTAATGAGATGAACTTAGGCAGGCTGTTCCATTGTAATTGGTGTAAGAACTTGTGAATAATGATACCAACCTGCAAATGGCACCGTGATTTTATCCTGTGCATGTACAATCAGAAAGGCAGAAGATATTTTGCCTTTTACGCCTCGTAGTATAGTTTCGCTCCTTTTAGGTATTATGTTTCATTGTCCGGTAATTTGTTTGAATTTGGACTATAAACACGGAAATAAGTAAAAGTTGGCAGAAAATTATCGGCTGATTTGGATTAGAGTTTTCGAAATTTATACCCCTTCCACATGAAGACGCAGTATTTACAATTTGTTCTTTCTTGTTATTTTGAAAACCTCTTTCCTGTCTACGATGATTCTGCATGCCAACATTAGAGGGGTGCTATATAGTCCCTAGCATGAATGTATTGGCGAGAGTAGAAATGGGTCAGCTGTACTTCGTTTATAGAACTAAAGTACGCTTGGAGAGATGACGTGGTGGAATGGTGATGCAAGTGTTGGGCTATTTTCAAGGATGCATAACTAGGTGCAAATGATGCTTTCAAAGAGTCAAAAGAAATATATTGGAAGATTAAAATATAATTAAAAGTTATGAGTTTTGAGCAATTACTAGCGAAGTCTAGGGGATCAAAGACATTATATTTAGTTATAGAAGTTGAATTGACTCAAAGAAAGGAGAACAGTGACTTAATGCTTTATCCTTAAATCGTTCCTTTTATTGAAGTACTGGCTGAGCTACGATTCTTCATCTTTGACAAAATAATAGGGAGATTGCACAAGTTCTGTGAATGCGATGGGATCTGACTCTTTTTACAAAATGATAGAAAAGCATATAGGATTTCCTAGGAATTGATTCTTATGTTTTGCCAGGTCTGGTTTTATTTTTCACTCCGCGCGTTGCTTTACCTGGCTGATAAACGATTGTTTTCAAAGTGGTCGACTAGTTTTTTATGGCAGACAACACAGACCCAACCTGTGTGAATGTAAATGGTTTAAGTCTTGAATTATGGACCTTCCTACATCTCAACAGGATGTTCCCGACGTCAACGACTGTTCGCTTATTCTAATGCTTCATGGTGTGCAATGTGTCTTAAAAATCTTACCAATAAATTTTGATTAAATACTTACTCCCTCTTCTACACAGAAACGAATCTGTCCCCCTGTGGTCTGGATGAGAATCACTGACAACTTTTAATTTGGCACAAATCATTTGGCCAAAATGTGCGCAATGGGTAAGGAGAAGGGAGGCTGGAAGTAACATTTGACGCATGCGCTAATCACACGATATTCGGTAGGTGGTATGCAAAGACAATGAGAGCATAGGCCCAGGTGGCAGGGGAAGAAGAGCAAGCGGCATCGAGTGCTAAGTAGAGGAGTGGCATGCGGGTGCGTGGAGGTGTGAGAAGTCATCTTTTAGAGGTAGTTCAAAGGCTTCTCACCGCTGCACATTTAATGCTATGCATCCTTCTGCAGATGGTGCATGTGGTGCTTTTCGGAATGATCTCACCTGTAAGGTGCATGCCGATTTGGATGATGGAGATAGTGTGGCCCCTATCACTAATGTGGCAGCCAGTGTAACAAGGACACAACTGCTATTAGCTCACAATGATGACTACAATGACCCTGTGTTAGGTACTGTGTCCCACACTGTCGATATCTGGATGTCGATGAACGACAGGGCAGCAGAGTGTAGAAATGGGTCCAACCAGTGAGCATGCGTTGTCGCATAGATTCAAGTGGATATTTTTAATAATACCTCTCCGCTCTGAGAGTGGTGGATACGACAACGCCGGTGCCACAGACGGCACCAACAGTCTTGGTGGTGGTTAGGTTATAGAATGGGATGCATGCATGCCGTAGTTGCCTTAAGTAGACGTATAACCTTCTGCAGCATTAGACGTAACTTGAGTGTTGAATAAATGAAAATGGGCAAGACTGCTACATAGTTTCTTCAATCCTTACTCTAAGCAGGATTCGGAGATGCCGTAATGACAAGTCCTCCTATGCTGAGTGTCAGACGCTGGGACAGACATGCGAATGAACCCAAAGTCGGTATCGGGAAATAGTTGCCCTTATAGGCCTCTCACTAAACTAGGTACAGCTCATTAACTATATGATTAATATTCCAAGTGCGTACTCAAACAAACGGCTTCGGACACCACGAATGACGTTCTATTTTCCGTCAGATTCGACATACTTATCCATTTTGATAATAAGGTCAAATGGCTCCACAAAGCCATCAGAAATTCATCGCATTAAATTCAATCTGAATAATCATGGGCATTTATGCCTCACCACTGAAGAGCAAATTGCAGCTCTGCCAAGTGTGTTCAAACAGTTCTACTGACCCACATCTGGATGTGAGTTTTCCTTGCCGTAATAGCTTAAACTAGTGCCGTATCTTATGCATCTCTCTGGAGTTGTGCTGGAAGGGCTTGTCAATTTTAAGAGATAATTAAAGAATATCTGCTACAGAAAATGACATTTATGTGCCAATGTACCACAAAAAGCCTGGTTCAACCCTCATTCACTAGATGATAGCAAAATAGGCAGGCTAAAAATTTGAGCGTTTATATGCTTAGGGTGAAGTTGAGCAAAATGAATTTGATTGAACTTCCAAAACAGAGAACCACTTCAAAGGGGGCTGACCTATTTGCCTATGTCGCAATCTCAAATGTTGTGTGAACAAATCGGTTCGTTCCATCAGATCCACTATTCTTCCATTGACCACTTTCGGTCAGTTATCTGATCTTGAGTGTGTTGACTTAGTCACAGCCAGTAAGCAGTCTGAGTAGGAGTCTTGGGCACTCTAAAGAAGGTATAAAGACCGAAACCGTCTAAGACATTACATGGGTTTACCAGTTTGGGTTTTTGAATGTGGAGAGCATGGCAGCATTCAGGTGGTTTTATTACCGGCACCTCAACAACTAAATTCTACAGCAGGACTAGTTAGTTCAGACTATGCAATTGTTCGTCGGAGAGCTGTCGATTCTGCAGCATGGATTACCATGTGCCTTAATGAGCCATGTTATTTGTTATGTTCCATGCAGCGGGAATGAATCAGAATGTTCTTAAAGGCAATAACGACTGTGAGAAGATCTTGAGCTGCATTTTCATGGTGTGAATTTCCACGACCTTGCAAAAGGCACTTATGACCGCGGCTGCGTTGCTACCATATGGTCTAGCATCAGCATTTACATTAACATGGCATTCTGGGACGTCAAATTATGGACCCTGTGGTGCTGGCAAATGCCATGATGATTTTCATTATCACCGACACCGATCTTACTAATGGTGCCCAAAGCCCCCCTTTACCTACGATATACTCCGCAAACACAGCTGACGTCATATACTTATTAAATTGGGCAGTAAATACCGAGAACGTCCTGTCACTGCTGGCTCAAATGCTGTTGCAGATGATATAAATGGATGGGAGTCGAGACGGATATTTGTCTGTTCTATTATTTTAGAGTCAACCAATGGTTACACGAATGCGGTTTATGTAACAACAAATCCTAAATATTTGTATACCAATTGTGACTGCTCTATCCGAGAATTCTTCAATTAACACTCCGTTATCTTTACTCAATTTAATTAGCCATCTTATATAAGATGATTTATTTCTCTTGCAAATGACTGCTTTTAAATGTATTTAATTATTTGCATATTTGATAAAACACGCCACACACACTTGTTTAAGACAACCAGCGTAAACGCCAAATCCACGTCTAGCGGTATTTAAGAGAATTTTTCCATCCAACTTATTACCATCGGAACCGCTCCGAATGGGGACACCCTAACCCGAACAAAAGCTGAGAAATTTATCCCCATAACTGTCGTGAGTGGGTCACACAGGTCACATCACGAGCCAAATCACTTTTTTGGTATAAGTAGCCGTGATGCTGCACAATGCTCATCTGGAAAGGCATTAGTAAACACCTTTTTATATATAATTCAAATTATATGACTGCTTAAACACAACAACTCGTTCAAGCTGGCATCAAGACTAACATTTTTATCCTACTCAAATGCAGCTCTTGATATCACCATGTGTGATGAAAACATTTTTTTAACACTTCCTTGACTTACTTGACTGATGATTCCGTGTGAGGTTACACCATTAAATGCGTTTCATCATGGATGTCGAGGCGTTACTATTTCGGAGTTGGTTGTAACTGTGGTATCTCCTGGTGAAACATGATTTGCAGCCCAATTGGCGAGGAATGCAAAATAATTAGGATAATTTACAACAAGCCATTTAATGCAGATTGCATATCACTGCGTAAAGGCATGACATAAGGCGTAGAATTTACTTTTACCCAATTGGGAATCACTACGTTTACGCATGACAGCTTTGCATTGCACCACATGATAGGGTTTTGGTATAAGAAATTCCACAAGGGATTAAAAACAGGTAGAAAAGAGTTAGTCCAACAGCTACGTGTCATATGCAGTGCTGAAATTTGGGTCTTAGTTACTCACCAGTCCATGTAACATAAGTGGTTTGAGGCAAGTCTGCGTCCTCCCTCAATTTGTGTATCATTCTTTTTTTGGTAAAAATAGTTGCATCTTTCTTTTCAAACTGACTTGCTAGTGTGACAATCTTATGTTAATTACAAGGCCTCATCTTTCCTTAATATCACGGCCTGGGGGTGATTTGTTTCGGGGAAAACAAAGTTAGAGGAGATTTTAAGGCAATACAAGAGTCAGAACTATGTCAGACGGAGAGACAGACAAAGTGATAGATGGAAATATAGACAAGAAGAAAGCCCAAATTTGTAGCAATGGTGAAATAACGTGAAACCAAAAACAATGTAGAGTGTGGTCATGGGTTCATTTACTTCTAAGTGGCTTATTTCCCACTGCTCTTAATGCTCAATATGAACTAAATGTTGTTGGAACGTTAAGGTGGGTCAAAATAGCATCTTCCAAAACCGAGCAAGCTGATCTTTTGTTCTGTTGTAACTTAGCCCGAACTGAAACAGGAGTCTGCGTACTGATGGAGTTGTTTACCGCAATCTCAAACTTTAAAACGTGAAAAGGTAAAATCGGACACTCGTTTGCAATTATACTTTATTCTATCAAGCTCAGATGCAACTTGTCCAATATTTTGTTATCACATCTTCAACCCGCCACAATAGGAACCAAAAAAAATATTTCACTTTAAAATTACCTAGTTAATAGATGATACTAGTACATACAATCGCTTTTATGAATCTCGAAGATTGGCTCTTAACCGCCAAATTCAACCTCCCTCTCTATCTCCATTGTCAAAGAAAACCGCTTATTCTCCGAGCCCTCCCACATGATTTATTTGTGACTGCAGTCGGAGCCGGCATCACCAATGCTGTGACACATAGGCTCAACTTGTCATCAATCGTGAAGGGCAAACTCTGGCCGGGGACTTCTTTCAGCGTTTCCAAAAAGCTGATGAGGCCAACGAATGGTATGCCAGGGACCTCCAACTTCTGGCCGAACGCGCTTTTCGTGGCTGTCCCCCAAACAAAATCGCCAATTGGGTAGCAGTTCAATTCAGACCGGTGTCTCGCCATACAGTATTTCTAGATTTATGCGCGTAGAAGAGAATAGTGACCGCATCCTTCTATGCCCTGTGCCTCCTTGAGGTGTCCACTGGAAATTTTATCTCCACAAATACATTCACTAGGCCTCGATTGCCTTTCCATTGACAAAATTTGACTTTCAGCCAAATCTGGCTTCCATTTGCGCTTGGGTTATTTTAAATATTTGTGAAATCTTTGCTTCGACTTTGGTTAACAGTTTCACAATCTGTCATAGATGTCTTCGCATTATTGGGTATCCAAATGAAGCTCATAAATTCGGTTCACTGGACAAAGTTAAATAAGTTATTTCGTGTTCAATGGTTGCAATGAAGCTGCCATAATTCCTTCCTTTCACTGCTTTAGCATGTAAAGTGACATAAAGAAGTATGGTTTTGTTGTTAGCCACAGCATATCCTGTTGTACGGATTGGCTTTTAGCCTCAAAACACTAACTTTAGGTATCATCCGCAGTAATGGTACATAAGTGCATAAATAAATAAATAACAAAGAATTTAGCCAGCAAAGAAAAGCAGATAATGAGACCCTATTAATAAACACTTGGGAAGAGAAAAGGAAATCTGGTTAAAGGAATGCGAATGAAGTTAATGGAATCCCATATTCCTGTAAAGCATTGTTAGTGAGCATTAACTAGGTTGTGTGAGGCCGTTATCTTCGCTGCAATCAGAGCATTCGAGGCTGCATCGAAGCAATGCATTTGCGCTCTCATCAAATGGGAACACAACCTCCTGTGCCGTTGCATGCAAGATCTAACGCCATATCAGGACCGGGTCTTTCCAGCCTCAGGAGGAGATGAGATCTGAAAAGCAAATGGGTCAGAGAACCAGTACAATTACGAACTCGCAATTGTTCCTACCTTTTGTGATCCTACCTGTAAATTACCAATGACAGAAGAAGCGATTGGTCGTAAGTCATAATTGATGATTTATTTACCACATCTGTCAACCATCACTCCTCCATGGTGTCGTTCATTACGCACCATCAAGTCATCATCGCCTACATCATTTAGAAGGAGATAAATTGAGTTAATATACAGAATAGCCTGTGCAGAATTACTTCTGTTCCACATGGGGATGCTGTGGGAAGGAGGCAGGTGAAGTGCATGGGGCACTTTTGACAAGGAATGTTGACTGTTTGCATGATTATTTGGAGATATCTTTAGGGTCACGAATGTCATTAGGATGAGTTGCTCTCTTCCACCAGTCAAAATTGTCATTTTCAAGCCGACGTTGTAATTGTCCAGCCACACGTGTATGTGAATGCTTAACTGTGTGTTTTCGCGTTTGCATGGACAACGAGCGATTTAATTCTACTGTCCTTAAAAAGGGAATGCTTCAGCTGGTACCAAAAGAATTCAATCTTGTTTTCGCAGGATTTACCCAGCCATGACAACTTGGTTCAGCCCCACATTGCGTGCCATGGTTTTACTCCCTGAACACCCAGTCACTATGTGGCACACTTTCGCTTCTGCCTTGCAGCCTCATTTTGAGCAGATGTAGGTGTATACGAAAAGGCAGTCTCTGACTTACTCAAAAGTCTCATTTTGGTCTAATAAGGAATTTGACAGTTTTAACATGCAAAACCAAAATTTAGGGGGAAGTCGATCACGTTGATACCTATCTTTTGCATTAAGCAAATGATGAATTAATGGCTCTCAGAATCTTTGCTATAGTCGTAACAGACAAAAGGAGAGTGAATGTACTACGTGCTAAAGTACAGAAGGGCTAGGAGATTACAATCCACTCCTGGAGGCCATATTGCAATGTAGAAATACAAGCTGCTGATGCTGAATTAACCACGTCAATGAGTGTGTAGTTGAACAAAATGTAAAGATGCCACACATTTAGCATAGCCAAATGCGCATTTTCCTCCATTCTCGCTAAGTGGGATAGACAAAACTACTGGACCCATAATGCAGAATAACAAATAGCATTTGCATAATTATGTAAAGAAACGAATCATTTGTACCATTTGTATATCTGTTTTAAAAGCTTGCCCAACTGCATGAGCTCCTCTGCTTAACAATATATTCTTAACACTATTTTTACGAATTCTTTGGATTTTCCACTCCTAATGCAGATTGTTTCTGATTAAACGGTGTCTTAATTCGACGGATGCAATCTGCTCATTTGCGTTCATGATGAGTAGAGTGAGGTGTTGCATTATTTGTGTGCATGCTTGAGCCTCCTTAACCATTAACTTGGGAGTGCATACTCTCTCATTTCAAAAAGGCAGTAGGTGAATTAACGAAGTTTCACAACTCCGATACGCTGACACCTGAGGTAATGCTTTTAAAGAAGCAAAGATGTGAAGTTAACTTTTAGTTTGAAGTGAAGTGGAAGAAAGGCGCGAAAATCGTCTTAGTCGAATTGCTGAAGAGTCGTGAGTGCAAAAGTAGGTACGATCACTTATAATCTATTACAAAATTCTTAGACCCGAAAGACCATAAAAAAAAGACACTGAAAACCTTAAATTTTGAACGGAACTTCTAGAATCCCTTGGAGCGTTTAGTTGGCAAGCAATGAACACAAATGTGCTGCTATTTGAGTTACTTGACCACATAGCTGTGCATTTTAAAATTAATTTTTTCAAAACAAGCTGCCATCTTCTGGGCACATTGTTTACGGCCAAATATCGTTACTGTGAGTAAGAAGACGTCCAACATCCCAGTTTAAGGTGACTGTGCAGCAGACTGAATGCTTTGGCACGAGATGCAAATGCCCAAAACACAAGGCCTGCTTCAGTATGGAGCGAAATAAAACCCTCAATATCACCTCTTTGGATGAGGTATGAAATTAGACTAAGGCGAAACAACCATTGGGTTCATTAGCTGTGAGGGTTGTTTCTAACTCGGCGCCATCAAACACCATCCCTGTAGTGCCTTGTGTCACTGTCCGCAAGATCGTGGCTACCACGGGATTGACAATAGTGATGACTCAAACTGTCCTGACGCCTGTCTGCGGGTTCTGCATTCCGCTAACTGCCATTTCCAACTTCCGGCAGTAATCCGCTTCTTAATTAGCCTCTGCCGCTTTCCTGTCTGCCACCGCTTATAATCCCAAATAACAGGCAAAATACTTTGTTGAATAAGCATGTGCCATTGAGCAAGAATTATTCAAGAAGCCTTGCCACTTTTTACGCTTGTTCTGCTACGCCATTAAGCGGAACGATAATACTGCCTGCATCTTGCTATGTGCAGTAGAAGATGAGTTGTGAATTTATCACATTGATAGAGGAGAAGATGACCTCCATCTTGTGATGGAATACGACTTGATATGAGCCACTACTAAAACTCTGAATAGAGGATATAGTTAGAAATAGTGTCTGGCTTACCAATGCAGGTAAAGTAAGATACTTGCAAGTACGGTGCCAAAGTCAAAATAATGATAACCGAAGAGAGCCAGCACAGAGTTGGCAATGCCACCTCTGAATTTGCTGGTTGTGTTTGTTGCAATAGTGGACACTTGTTGCTTCTGCTTACACGTACACCTCTATCGACAAAGTATGTGAGGTTGGGAAATGTGCAACCCCACTTTCATCACCTAGACTAGTTGAAATCGCAGAGGAAATGCATGCGTGTGGAGGCGTCGATTAGCTAGCAGACGATTATCAGCACGGCGAGGAACATGAAGGCTTTCGCTAGTGCACAGTTGTGGACGTGCAACAGACTCTCTGAGAATTCAGTCAGCACTGGGTATGCAGACGCAGGGGTTTATGCTACACTGCCAATGCCAAAAATAAAATAAGCGAAATGAAGTTGCACACTACACATTCGCCTGTTCCACCAACTCCAAGGCCGGATTGAGCCTGATTCGAGCAGTGGGTGTAACAGCAACTACGATGACATCAGTTGAAGTGTAGATATTATTTACTGCAATATGCATCCCATGTAATCTGTTTTGATCTAACTGGGGCACCTTAATTATAGGTCTCAAATCGCCTTATCCACCTCTCTCTTCCTCTTCCTCCTTCGCCCTAACTTTCATCTCCTCTCCAGTCGTTGAGGTGCCTGACTTCAGCAACCGTGTCTGCTATTACCATCACCACCAACTGTAGAAGCAGCCAATGTCTGCGAAGGAGGATCAATCAGTTCCCGCTAAAGTTAGTGGTGATGGCAATATCATCAAGGAAGAGCAGGGGATTTTGAGGCCAAAGGCCTGATTAGCTGCACCCGAAAAATCATCGTTGGCTCAAGAACACATTCCAGACGCATATTATGCTGCAAGTATCAAGCATGGGTGCCCATAGCCAAGCGAGATAGTGCGTCCTTTGCAAATGATTAGTTGATCTTCTACAAATACAAGATAGGCACTACAGAAAAAGGTCCCCTCTATTGGAATTGAATTTAAAGCGATACCATTTCCTTACATTTGACATCTCTAGCTTGCGCTAAATAAACAATCATCTTATTCTTCTATTCCGCTTAATTTGGAGACGGACATTCGAGCATGGCGTTTGGGTAAAAAGGTTATAAGAGAAGGCGCAAGGTAGCAAATTTATAATATTTTGTAGTAGCCTTGATATAAAGACATAAAAGAGAGCCAAACGGAGAAGGGGAAACTGATGACATCAAGTAAACTTCGAATGTCTGATCAGAAACATCAGTCGAGATGAAAAGCACAATCAATGAACACCATGAAGGAATGTGGCAGGATGTGATCATTTAATCGTAGCGCCTCTCGGTCCCAAACATTGTTTGTTCTAACCATCAACCAATAAGTCGCAGGAGGTTAAACCAATGAAATTCAAGTATGGTGCATAAAAAGGCAGAAATTGATCAAAGACTCGTCATCGGGTTGCGTTTCAAACATGAGAAACGGTGAGATTCACTTATGCTTGTACTTTGACAGCATTTGAACTACTCTTGTGCTGATCAGGAGCAGATTTGTCTAATTCTTTCCACTATCATGAGTTAGATATTTTTTGCATCAATATTGAAATTTGCTCCTTTTCATTTAGACTTTTCCATTGAAGGCTTACTAAAGCCCTCGCCCACAGAACAAGTACTACCAGAGCCATCTCTTCCAGATGCTAAGCACGAAGCCACATGCAATGCTGAAACCAAACACATCAGCTCATCCGATATGACTTCGATATTCTCATTATCATCCACTGCCACTGTCGGCAATTCTTCCTACTTCTCCTCCACTTCTTCTAGTAATCATTCCAAAGCATCAATGGGATCACAACTCATGCTCGGATACAATGAACAGATTCCAGCGATGAATTCGTCCACGCTCTTTCCCTCCCAACCGTTGATCTCATCATGCGTGTCCTCTACCAACCAAATCGTAGCACTTCCACAGCTTTGTAGTCAACCCATCAACTCGGGTACTATGATGCCCCTCCTGGTCCATGGGCACACTACGCCACTGCAATCCCGTGAATTCGGTCTAGAAGCCTCTAATTTCCAGTTTTGGTGTCACTACATGCTTTTATCAAAGCTGTTTGACTTGCTAAGCATAGCCACACACACAAGTACTGTCAGGCCTACCGATAATGCTCCCACCTTTCCTATTGTCAGAGAGGCAAGAATCAAGAATGAGGACGACATGAGTGACAACCGCATCTGTTATACTACAGTTCCGATTAGGGCAAATGATGAAGGAGTGGACAGGGAAGAGCGACCGATATGGAAATGCCGAGAGTGTGGAAAGGCATGCAACAGCTCCGCTTCTCTGCGAATGCATGAGCAAAGTCACTCACGCCAGTGGAAGTGCCGCTTCTGTGGTAAGGCGTTCTCGCGCAAATGGCTACTTGAGGGTCACGAGCGCACGCACACAGGCGAAAAGCCCTTCATCTGTCCCGTCTGTCAACGTAGCTTTGCCGATCGGTCAAATATGCGGACGCACATGCAGACACACATGGCGGTGAAGCACTGTTGCTGTCCTCACTGCCCCCGATCATTCATCCGTCGCGATCTACTCATCCGACACTTGAAGAAGTGTCCAGTTTCCACTCTTGCTGCAACCACCGTTACCAATGATGCTCCCACTACCGGCATCGTCAACACAGCATGTGATTTTGACTCCATCAACTCAACTTCTTGAAATAAAGAGGTGGAGTTACATTGTACCAACTTTGCCTATGGACAACATCCACAAGTCTGTGCAACATTTTAATAGTATCCTTGTCATACGTGTCTACTTTGTGGTGAGTTGGCAAGCCAAAATATATGGACATTTTGCACAAGTTGTCTTTTTACTTTTTGAACAAATAATGGCTAACGATAAATTGGGCATCCACGAAATATGCCACACAATGTAACAGTGTCCAACCAGTAGCAAATTATATTTGTTTATTGCCGTTCCTGTTCTAACTTGGAGTCAGAAAATGTGGGGCATGCTGAAGCCGTTTGAAATGGTACGGGAATAAAAATTATAACTATGATGTTGGATGGAGCAGAGGATTTACATGCTGTTGCCATTCACTTACTGCATTGACTTTAACATAAGGGAGAAGATGGTGCTTGTAACAACTGAGCAATTCACCTGAGATCCATCACAATTTACATCTAGAGGGCAGTGCCTTCAGTGAAATTACAACTGATTAATTGGGTGAATATGCCTTTGTACTTTTCATTATCAACCTCTCAAATACCGTGCACAAGTCATCGTTCAACCGGTAGACCGCATAATATCCATTTTTCAGGTTTGACAACGCACTGTTTTTGCATCTAACCATTAATTATGAATCCTTGACAGCATAGGTGGCTAGGGGTTACCTTTACATCAAACTAATTAACATTTATGCAACTCGCATTTTATTTTGCAGAAAAGGGCTTGGATTTACTAGGAGACAAATGAGGAAGGTCGTCTTTGCAATTATGAACTGCATTTAGACTCTGTCCAGCACTCGCATTAAACAATTCAAATAGATTGCATGTTTTACTAGATCACCAACTCATTAAAAAGTGGCGTTTTTGTTGAGATGGCATGGGAATGGGATGCTGCTTTGATGAATATCCGCTCCAATAGATACACTCAATTTTCGTGCGTAACACAATCGTAGTTGTCTTTGGTGCTTTTCAAGAGGACTGAACATAGCACCTGACCCATACATGTCGCATCACTAGTTTCGCTACCTGTCAAATAGATGTAAGATGTAAGAAAACGATGTGCAGTTACCCAAACGTGAGCACAATGGATAGTAGCTTACACGCTGAGAGTTTACCAGGTCAGATAGGGATGCAAACAATACGTCTTTTGCAGTCGCCGAAAATATTGCGATTGTACAATCCAACCCAGCGAGCACATATATAAGCGAGCATAATAATTTATAAAGAGATATCACCTTTGATATGTATTATTCATCCAAACTGGTCTGCTTAAAACAATTCATTTTTTAAAATGTGTTTAATCCCAAAGGCGCTTAAGTATAGGCATGCCATATATATGGACAAATAAATTAAAACCACTTTACAACAATGGAAGATGCCGAGAACAGGGTCGGGTCATGACGATTTATGCATGAACGACAGCAGATTACCCTGCATTGGCATGGACTTGCAGATCACCACTGGCCATTATTTCAATGCCATGTAGTGCATCATCCAAGATAACATCACAGGAGTATCACTCTAAGGTCCACAGCTCAGACGCGATGCCTCTCAGAATAGACAATTAAAATACGTGATCGTGTTTGAGGTATAAAGATGAGCAGATGACATTGATATCTGCGGCCCGCACCACCTACTCGACGTGTGCATGCTTAGCTTTCAAAAACTTCAAACATCGGCATTTGTATTGGTATTTTATCCATCCCTCAAATTGATTTCAGCCTAGTGTCCCTAAGGTCAACCACACTTGGACATGATATTATGATATCCAATAGCTCTCTTGATATCTCTGGCCTTCTGGCTGGAAAAGGCAATGACATTTCAAGCTAATGATCGCCTCATAAGCCAGTTCAAGTGTAATTTTGCTATTCTTTTTGTTGACTGCTGTTGAGTTTATTTTGGTGCAGCTGTGTGTGTTAAGTTCCCACATGTGCTTCCTTTAGTCCAATAGTAACGCACCAATTAAACTGGGATGAATTCATGCTGTACTAGCACATTTGGAATAAACCGTTGGTGAAGCAATGGCGTTCGTTATGACTTAATCCACTGAAATAAGAACATCATTTACATTTGAGCCACTTCATACCTGAAACAATAGATTTCGCCGAAGGCCTATCAATGACACCAATACAGCTTTTTTCTTACTTATCTTCCATGCATGGTGGTACATGTGGATTGAAAGCATGGCTTTTTCCTGCCTCAAGTTAAACTGCTTGCTTAATCCTTCTTCCACATCTATCGCTAAGCACAACTTGGAAGTTAGCCTGCCCAGCCTGCCTTCACTAATGCTCCTACATTAGGACAGGCCGCATATCAGTAGATGTCAAATTGTATCGTACCTCCTACCAACTACAATTTTCATAAACAAACTCTCATAAACGAATTCCCTTCACCATGTGTAACCCACTACTCCCACACAATCGTTCCGAATTCTCAGCAGTGACAAAGGTTATCCTGAACAAACCGTTGATGCACGCGACCGTCTCATTCTCCGCCAAGGTCGACATGCATAAAGTCAAGTCCTGACTTCACACGTGCTTTAACCATTAGAGCCTCTCCCCACCAAGGTGCTGACTGAATAGCGTCCCAACTGTTGTCTCCTTAGAATCGCCCGTCCTGAGTCCCAGATGTTTGGGCATTTGATTCCTTCGTGTCCATTTACGGACATCAGCTCATCCTTTGGCATCGTCAATTTACTACACAGTAGTATACTTGATCAATTTATGCGACATTCTGAATCTAGTGCTACCTTTCTGCATCTCAGCAATATCATAGTCTTATATTTAATCACAGTACATCTGTGAAAAATTATCATCTCATTTTAGAAGCGCCTGTTTACATTGAATTATTAATAAAGGACAAGTGTTAAGAAAGTGGAAGGAATCGGTTATGAATGTTTAGCAAACAGTACTTATATACTTTCATATGCAAAGTAGATCTACATGGATGAAATGATCTCTTTTCCGCACTGATGGGAACTAAAGGTGACAAGTCAAGCCTCACCAAATTAATTATAATCATGCGTAGATGAAAAAAGAAAAATTACGTTTCCTACGAAATTAGGGTGTGGTTGAACTGATGGTGATTTAATGAGATGACAAGAAAGTTTATTGTGCACAAGTTTTATCCAGGTCAGAGAAGCGAGAGGGAAGGAACGTATGGGAGATAACCCTTAAAATGGCAACAAGCTCAGTTTTATCGTCTGTCAAAGCCATGGTAGAATGCACAAATTCATTTTTGCAATTAGAGTACATGATGTGGCGATTGAGATGAGGAGAATGGGAAGAAGAAGATGGAATTTTGGAGTCACCGCATTGCTATAGACGAGCGCACATATAGTGAAGTTTGAGGCAACTGCATCAAAGAGCATTTAAGTCTTGCCCCACATTTTGTTCTCAGACAGTTATTAAGCTGGAAAGAAAAAGCAGCTGTCATCTACTGTGTTTGGATTAGCACCGCTCTTGACCACCATGCAAATGTTAAACAACACGATCTATAAGCCTCGGTAACAGAACGTTTGCTTCACAAGTGTTTGCTAAACAGATTCACATTGTTCATAATTTACTAGGTAGATACAATCAAAAATGTTTTGGTATAAAGTTGGATAAGCGCATTTTGCACTCCAAAATCTAGGCCTTCTGGAGAGCCTAGGCATTTGACGTTGATTTGTTTCCACTCTGACCCAAGTCAACCTTAAGGGTGCAGTCCGATAAACCAGCACAAAAGCAGCTCTATTATTAAAGCGGCGTCGGAA